AGTGTATTGGATGTGTGTATGCAAGTAGTATTCAGGCTTTAGGTGGAAAAACAGTAAGTTAACCAGCAAAGCAGAAGCAAAAAAAAAAAAAAAATCACACTGAATCAAAGAAACCTAAAAAAGACATTTTTGTGCTGTATAATGCATTTTAGTGGTAAAAAAGGCTTTGACACTGCTGACGACACACAAAGTTTGAACTTGTGCAAAAGAATTAAAAAGGAAATTAAAAGAGCCCCACTGTGGCAAGAAGGAGTCTAAATGTATAGCAACCAAACGTAGGACACTTGCCACAACTACATGAAAGCAGATTACTGGGTCAGTGGCAAAATACATGCATGCTGTTTTATTTATTAGGTAATACTTGAATTCTAACAACTAATAGTAGTATTTCTATTGTGTTACATAACCTAATAGTTTTGAGGAAAACCACTAGTATTGTAATCATTGGTCTTTTCCCAACCACTAGTATGCCCAACCTGAGGATGGTGCTAGAGGAAAGCCAAAGGAGTGTTATGCATTTGAAATTTCAATTTCATATGGCTTAATTTGTATATAAAATATGCTGTGAGCTTCCATACAGACAAAAAAATATATATACAAGAAGCTTAGTTAAAGCAAAAACATTACAGTGAGGATCTGATGTCAAAAAACAGCAAATGTGTGAAAATCTTGGAGAGAGTGAAACGATACCTGTGTCAGTGGAGTAGACCCGGAAGCTCTTGTCCCAGAAACCACATAGAAGGATGAAGCGGTTGTCAGCCGTGATAACAAAACACTGCGAGCTGATCTGAATGCTCTGATCTAGCAGATCTGCGATCTGCCGACGGTGAAGACCCACGTTACTGGCTGGAAGGGGACGAGAGGAGATAAAAATAAACGGAGCAAAACAAAGATTACATGTTGAAAATGCACAGATGTCCAGAGAAGTATGAAACCTGGAGCGTGATCCGAGAAACCCTTTACTGTTTTATATCAACTACTTTCAAAGAGCTCACACTTCAGCGCACCTCCACTAAGGTTTCAGCGCTGGGGTGCAAAGAAGATTTGTGAGGGAAAACATAAAACATCCTAGGGGTTAAGTTTATAGGGACTTCACATTTTCTATGAGAGTCTAAGAGGCTGAGTAATATAGAGCGTGCAGTCTTCACAAAATATGTACCCCACTCAAGTACGAACAGACCCAGAAAATTCATCTTGGCTGTGTAATTAAGCCGAGTTGGTTAGAAGCAAATTTACCGACATTCTCATTTCCACGAGAGGCGTCTTTTTTCTTCTCTAGAAATATGTTCGGTGTGAAGGGTTTCTTATTTGATGGGGTCAAAAGCAATGGAGAATAGGTGTCAGAGAAGACTGTCTAGAGTGGAAATTGAGAAAGTCCAGTATATCTGCTATGAATAATATTTCAACTGATTTTTAACATTCCCCAAAGCCACAGATGGCTCCACGCTCATCCTCAATTTACTGTGTTTAGCTCAGGCTCCTCCTGGAATGCAAACAGTGTAAATATATTACTGACATGAAAAATCCCAGCTACCTCCCCTAAAACACACACGCACACTCCCAGCAACACCAAAATTCATTATTTAGCACATTATTTATTCTTTAGTGTTAGAAATGAGATATACAGTAAACACTTTGGAGGATAAATATACTCCAAAACCTGTGCATTCAGTGACAAATCACACATCTGCTGAAGCACAGAACAGCAACACGCACTGAATGTGTAAATACTGATGCACAGATAAGATTTCTTTTATTCTGCCTCTACAGACGGAGCACTGAAGCAGAGAAATACAGCACAGTGCGTGCAGATAAAGATGAATATCTGGGGTTCAACCCTGGTTATTTTCAGTAGTCTTTGGAAGGGGAAAAAAAAAAAAAAGAGTGTGAATATGGTCTGATGAGACTCAGAGAGACCACAACACCCAGAGAAAAAAAACAGCCCCCCTCGCAGATGTGCATGAGATTGCAGGAGGCTGCAGGAAAGTAACAGAGCTGGGAGCAGATAGAGGTGGCTCGTCTCTCCCTGCTCTCTGCCAGCGCATCCCATACATCACTGCAGCTCAGCACTCTTCTCCTGCTCATCAACAAGTCGTGAAGGATGAGAGGCGCCCATATTGTCCTGACAGCCGTCCGCCGTGCATTCTCAATCACACATTATTACCACATTCATATTCATTTCCATTGACACGCGTCCTTTCCCTCCGCTCAAATTAAACCAAAGAGGATGCAGAAAGGGAGGGAGGAAAGGGGACGATGGAGAGGGAGAAAGAGGGGGAGTTGATGATGAAATGCCGGCCTAGGCCACAGCTCATTGCATTCCAATTTGCATGCAAATGGTTTAGTGTGAGAGCAGGGCCTATATCATCACGAGTGAACTAGGGCAGAGGCTGAGAAACAACTCTAATCTACTGTCCAGGGACACACCCCAACAGACTGCCATGAGTCACCAAGCAGTGCGATTTAGGCACAAATCCACACAAAACCCCATTTCATGCCCACACGAAGCCAACTCCCGTGTGTGGATTCTCTACCGGTCGTAAAGGACAGCGTACCTATTAGAGGGTCAATTTCCACAGGAAGTTGGTACTGCTGGTCCTGCACCGTTGAGCCCTGATGACCTGACAGAAGAAGAAGACAGAGTGGATTAATATTGCAATTGTCTGGCCTTGCGGAGTAGGTGCTGGGTTTGAGGTCATTATAACACGCTGAAAACTATAACCATAAAGTCAGAGGCTCAAGAGTCGCTCCACAAATTAGACATCAGTGCTGTCAAAAAGCTATCGAGGCCAGTCGGAGCACAAAGTATTACAAAATAAATGAATTATCCTGACAAAGTCAACCATAACATATTCACAGCAAGTGATATTTAGTCTAATTAACTCAGTTTAAACTGGATTAAGTCATCATGCATATACCCATTATGTTTAACTTAGATTGTAGAGTGAGGTAACAATTTTACCCTTTTACCACATGTTTAGCAAGTAATCTCTCACGATAGAGCTTTTTATGTATTGTTTTAGCGATTTTAACTATGTTTAGCTGATATAATCATTCATTTACTTTTAACTTGTGTATTTTTTGGGCAGTTTATCCTTTACATTTAGTTAAATGTTCAAACTTTTTCAGGTTCACACTATCCATTAATTAATTGTAATAGTTTAGCTAATTTATTCACCAATAACCTGATTTTGATTTTTTCTTTTTAAGATTCACATGTAATTATCAGTATGAGTATTGTACACTTGTGTCACATCGGCTCTGAAATTAAAAAATAAAAATAAAAAAATGAAATGTGATACGAAAGTGTGTAAACCTGCACTGCTTTCAACACACTCATAATTTGTCATTTTATTTCATGCGTTTATTCTGAGATTTTAAAAGCAGTTTTGGCAACTTTGCTCTGCACATCATTTATTAAACAGACTCCAGTGGGTCCCTACAATCAATCCACTACTTCCAAGCAGGAAAAATTGCCCAATATGGCCAGCCTGTGGTATGCATAGATGATGTCTAATTCCAGTGAAATCTGATCAGTGTTCATCCTCATAAACTTAGATATCAAATTTAACATTTCTTCTAGGGCAGGATGGACGTTGAGTAAATAAGGTTTTGTGTAGTAAGCGGCTGATGTATGGAGGTGGACGTGGGACCTAATGCTGGCTGCTACATGTGTCACATTTGATACTGCTATCTAGTAGACACAGTCAACTGTCTCCCAAATCAACGTCCATCCTACAGAGACGAGGCAGGTTGATCTTCTGATAAATTAGAAGCTAACGTATGGAGGAGAAATGAACAGAAGCAGCATGAAAATAATTATGTGAAAGCAAACTCAGTTCAATAACAAGGATCGTTTCTGTCTGCCTGAGATTTTATTTTTATTCATCGCTTCAGGTCATTCGTTTCAATGCACGTGTTCGTGGCTTCAAGTCTCTCACCTGTCAGGCCCTGCCACTTGTTGACCGCAAAGAGGCGGTTGGCGGTGACAGTGATGATGGCAGGTGACGTCAGACCTGCCTGGGTGTTGGCCGCTACGTGTGTCACAGGAGAGTTGGATGGGAACTTCAGTACCATGATAACATCCTGCTGCATCTGCTCCGTAAACATCAGAGGCGTCTGCAGGAGAAGATACTGTTCAGGGCCCCGGGACAGTCGACACGATGAAGGGGAGAGACGGGGAAATAGCCGAGGTGTGGCGCGACGGACGAAGAGCGAAACGCAAAGATGAAGGAAGCAGTTGGTGAAAACGGGGAGGAAAAGAAAAACACAGGGAGACGGAGGAAAGAGAAGGCCAGAGAGAACATTAGGAGGCTTGAGGAGGATAGTGGTAAGCAGCAGCTAAGCAGCACAAAAAAGCTAGCAAAGAGTTCAGAAGAAGGCAAGAGTCTGCATTTGAAACAACGCTACAGTAAATGAGGAGAGAATCTCAGAACAACATTTAAGTTTTAACAGAGAAACTGAAGCAACCGAAACAAATGTCTGTTGATTAATATTTCCCCTTCAGTGTGCACAGTAATGATATTATACATCATATATTAGACATTTTATAGAAGAAGGCAAAAACGCCACAGATTTCACAGGCTGACTTGTGTTCTAAATTTTTCTTTTAAATGAGGAAGACTGAGCAGATGTAAAAGAAGAATTATTGTAAGAAAACACCAGATTATTAAAAAAAGAAAAGATCCTTGTGCATGTCTGCAGGGTGGAGAAGGATTCTTAAGTAAACTGCTATACTGTACATGCAGTGTGTGTATATATGCACACACTACATGTCTATACAGCATCTGTATAAATGTTTTACTTTTTTTTTAAGATTGCAACTGATCTGCATGCTTATCAACCAATCTGATGAACATAATTCATTACATAGACTTTAAAATATATATATCTAATAAAGAAACACCAAATTTCTCTGAGTTCAGGTTGCTGTTGTTTTTTTGTTTGTTTGGCTTCATTAAAAGCCCCCAAAATATGTTGAATTTACAGTAATAATAAAAAGAATATCCTTGCAAACAAGTAACTAATTTTAAAAACTTGTGCTATCAGCTGACTAACAGACTATACGAAGAGACAGAAATTACAGCAACTTGCTAGGTTGCATTAGATTTATTCTTGTAAAAGCTGAACAAACGGCAGGAGAGACCATCTCTAAAACAGTCATAACAAAAAAGTAATTTCATTGACCTATCAGACTGTTTCCTCTGCTTAGACAGGCTCTACAGCCATTTATAGAGTGTTTGTACTAAGCAGCTCTAACAGAAAGCTATTTTCCTCCTTGTGTGTAAAGAAGAGGAACATCAGTGTTTAACATCAGGAACAGACCTGAGTAAATCCGGTGTGTCTGACAGCTAACCAGAAGCACTGACAGTATCATTACCACCAGCATGGGCAGATGCCGACACTCTGACAACACGCTCGCACGAAAGAGGATGGAGAGAAAGTAGAGAGCAAGATCCGTAAAAAGCAAAGAGAACAGCGTGTTCTGGAGCAATATGGAGCTGCGGGGAGGGAATTAAAGTGTTTGAAAAATGGTGCCTGAATATTATGTTTGAAAACTATGGTGCGGCGGTGTAAAAATAAAAACATTACACAGGAATTCACCCGTACAGTCGGGCGCTGGATTCAAAGCAATCGTCTGCGTTAGTGTCTGTGTGTGCACGCGCACGCTGGGTGGTGGTCTACAGCCAGCTGTCAGCACCACAGGGACACCGCGCTAATAGGGACTCGTGGGGCCTCGGTCCATCACAGGCAGGCATGCTGACTAAACTCCTTGGCCCTTAAAGGGCCGTCACATCAAAACTTCCATTTGTTGTTCTCTTTCGCTAATCATCTTTTTTTTTTTTCCAGCTCAGGTGGAAAATCTGGCTCAGACCCAGGTTTCCAGCACGAGGCTGTGCTTTTCTCCAGAAATCTCTTTCTAAACGCACATGCACACAAATGTTTGTGATCTCTCCCTTTCACACACACCTCACTAATGATGAGTGAGGGGATGCTTTCAAAACCAAGGCTTTTTTCCCCACAGTGGTAGATGGAGAAAGCGGACACAAGGTAAAGGAAACATGAAAAGAGGAAAATTAAACAGAACAGTTCGGGGGGCAGAAAGGTTTTTGCCGAGTGCTAACCAGAAATCAAAGACAAGAACTGGACAGGTAGAAGAACTGATGATCAGCTGGTTTCTGACCCACCAGAGCTTAACCTGGAGAATTAAAAGATACTGGAGTATATGCATTCATTTTTGAGATGTTTGTCAGTGTCTACTCACCACTTGCATGGCCGAGCTTCGGGGCGGGTGTGGCTCGATCAGCAACTGGCAGGGGGTTTGTCCAAAACTCCTAATCTGAGACTCCACAGCCTGAGTGGGGAGGAATAAAAACACAGAAATAAAGAGAGATGTTAGGGGTTTTCCCTCTCACTCCAACTATTCTTTGATAATTGTGCCCTGCGATCTATTTCAATGAAACAATAACGGCTCAGTTTCTAAGTGAAAAATGGTTATATTCCACTCCGCTGTGTGTGAAGGTCATATTATGATCTGATAAATGCTACAACAATCTAAGATTAATGTCTAAAAGAAAACAAAACAAAGAGGAACACAAAAGCCCATAGAGCTAGGGAAAAATGCGTGCACTTGTGCTCAAGCACACATGGACACGGTCTACATATAAACACACTTTTTCACAGTCTGACACTCACTCTCTCTCGCACACACATTTACACACAAACACCAATTTCTCCTCCGCAACCACACAGAATCAAAGGAGGGCTGGGCAGGCGGGCTTGTAGGCTTGGTTAGGTGGTGTTAATGAAGAGGTATAGGACCATAAATGTCACAGCAGACGCCGGCTGAGCAGCCTCTGGACATCATCACACAGCTCACTGTCAGGCCAGCTAGCACGAAGTGGGAACACGCCCACAGCACGGTATGGACAGATGAGGCTACGCCAAAGTGCTGCAACACATTTGCCCACGATACCGTTCTGTAGGTTGAAAAAAGCCAAACATTTTAATTATTGTTACATTTATTAGCCTTGTTATTAACCAAATTATTGCTTAAATGTATAATAATGCCCCCTCCCCAGGAGTTATCGCCACAGACGTTTACTGAACAACAAGGAGAAAACCTGGGGAAATTTCAGAAAATGGAACCAGCAAATGCTGCTTCGTGCACGACTATAGAAAGATGGTTAAAACTGTAGATGGCGCATTTGTGTTAATTAATCTTATTAAGGGTGTCGCAAGTGCAAAGCAAGTGCCTCATTTTGAAAAGCAATCACAGCCAGATAACACACGCAAGCATTCAAAATTTGCATGTGCACAAAATCCTCTTAAAAAACTAAAACAGAAAATGATGCAATTCAGTCTCAGCAGAAATGTATATAACAATAAGAAGCAGACAATAGTCAGCAAAAGCAGTCCTGTGAGACAAACTCGGTGTGACGGATAGTTTGTAACAGGGACAGGCAGAGGGAAAATGACCAACACAAAATTGTGACAGACCCGTCAGTATGTTGGTGTGCTCTGTGACTGGCTGTGTAGGAGTGACAGCTTGTGTGTGTAGGCTGAGACGTTTGAGTCGACTTGGCGCAGCCTGCGAATGAGCTCATGGTTGAGGCCTGCGTATGGTATTTCCATGAGAAAAAAAACAAAAAAAAGTTGGGAAATGAGTCTGCTCATACCCATTGTCTGAAACTAACCAGAAACCAGAGAGGCGCGGGGAAGTAGTGATTGTAACTGTCTATTACAAGGTTTCATCAGCCTCTTTAAGACCAAGAATCCAGCAACAAAAGCTCTACATCATGTTATTTTTATGTGAACACTGGTCTTTATACTTTTGTGCACTTTTAAGAAGCAATAAAATCTCAGGTTTCCTTCTTTTTTTAGTCTACTTTTATACATTTACATCTGAATAAGAAGAAAATTTACTCCAAAGCCTCTGAATAAGATGGTAATAATCCAACGCTAGCTCATAAAATCCTTCAGCACAAATGAATGAGCAGTACTTGTTATGGGAGGCTAATTAAAATAGAAAAGAATTCATGTCTTTATTCATAAATTGCACGACAATGGTTGTGCTTGTTCAGCAGACTGGAAGGGACAGTGTCCGTGTTAGAACAAGTGTCTGCGGTTTTGTGTTCAGGCCACAAGTGCATTTTCTACATGTGTGCAAGCATGCCAGATCTAAAAGGCGATGCTCCTGTTATGCAGTGATGTGTGATGTGCATTTATTAGCACTGGTCTGTAAGACTGGATTTAAAGGTCCGTCACAGTAAACTGATCAACACTGTGTAACACTATCATGACATTTCCCACCTCATCCACAGTTAGCCTCTTGGTGGGAGGACATGTGACATAACCGCATTATTCAAGGTCAAAATGCTGCCCATCTCTTTGACTACACAGGAAAGCATTTTGCGTAAGCTCAAAGCCACTCAACCTATCTTCATTAAGTGCGTATTTGACATTTATGAGGCTGTGGAAGGCTGGAAAGTGGCTGAGTCTAGGTCAGCATGTCCTATCCTGTATGCCAATGCAATGCTCAGGTGATTATATGAGGGGCCTTCCACAAGGCCAATCTCTTTTGGGAGCATTGGCCCGTGTCTGATGAAGGTTTTCTGTATTCTATACATTTAAATGGCCGAGACGCCCTCGGCTCAGATGTCTCAGCCTGTCCTTTGATTTACTCAGTCACTTGACAAGATAGATCTCCATGTAAAACATGCTGCTTTATGCAAATCAACCCCCTCCTCCAAGGGAAAGGAAAAAAAGCCCAATAGTTTTGTATTTCTCACAAGCAGAAAACTGGACAGATTGTATCATGGGTTTAAAATACTGAGACAACTCTATGCAGAGGAGGTCACATTGTCCAGTGAAAATAAACCAGCAGGTTTTATGCTTAGTGAGTGACTTTGGCTTACTGTCGAAGCAGGTTGACTCACGTGGGCATATATTTCCCGTCTTCTGCCGAATTACGCAAACGGCAAACAACTCAAGCGGGGCTCTGTGTTTTGTCGCTCGTGTGAGAGGTGGTGGGATTTTCCATAATCACATGCGAAAGAGGGGAAGCCCTGTACAACGATGAGAAGGCTACACAGGGCGCGTTTCTCTTTATACACCGAGAGGCAACACAGATGTGCATGCAAGCCATCTATGTGCACACGCGCACACACAGATGAAATTTGGGGTGGGAGAGGGGAGGCAGGAGGTAGTGCAGGAAGTAATCATGGTTTTGAAAAACACAGCACTGGTCTCCACAGCACTCACTAATCTGTGCTGAGATATTCCAAACTTTCTCCCGGAACAGAAAAGCACACATAAACACACAACCGTGTGCATTTATGCTGATGAGCACACATAAATATACAAAGGTATACACATACCAATGAATGAATGTATACATATGCATGCATATGTAGAAACACATCAAGGTATGATCCACACAAATCTTGTGCGCGTGTATTTGTGTGTGGGCTACAGGGAGTAGCCTCTGTGAAGCAGCATGGCAGGAATACAGAAATCAGCGAAGCAAAAATACAGAACCCTCCAGCCCGGTCTACTGCATTTTCCCACCTAAATATACACACACAAAAACGTACATGCACACACATCTGTGAACCGCCCCCCTGACACTGAGCAGCCCCGGGGCCTGTCCTAATGCGGGCTAGTCTGGCCGAGACCACAGCTCAGACTGAAACAGTTGTCACTCAGTAATGGCATACTCTAGGGACACTTTCAGACCCCAAACCCTCAGTCCCAAAGCTCCTGCAGCCCTCAGCCACCCCCAGCGCCCAGCCATGACGAGCCCCAGGCCTGGAACTGTGTTTCCACCTTCTGCACAGACAGGGCACGTTTCCTTCCACACAAACACAGTTGAAGGAGAGCCTTGGATTAGCTCACTGGGGTAATGCTTGTTTGGTTTATTTAACTAATTAAAGTGCTCAGGGAGTTTTCTCCCAGCAAACTGCAATCAAAGCATCAGCGAGAGAGCCCGCGAGGACGAAACAACAAGAAACTTTTTTTTTCCCCTCCTCAAGGCAGGCTAACTTTACAGCATTACAGATATGATGACTACTGACTTTTAACATGAGCTTCTGTACTACGCTGCCAATGTAGTCTTTCAAAACATCGATTAATAATGTTAATTAAACTACACCAATATTCATGACTACACCCTTTATTTTCCAGACATTTCACACAAAAGTTTGACCCAGTGCACCAATACAGAACACTTCAAGCTATTTTAAATACCATCCAGAGACAAACTTTAGAGACAGTTACACTAATTTGTTTATAGTAAAATGCTAAATGTGGTACCAAAGCCACAGACAAATAAAAACCTCATTCAGAAGCATACAAATCCTAAGTATGCATCCTTAAAGTCAGCAGTCGAAGATGCTTTTTCAATGCCACTCAAATCACAAGCACCTCCCTCTGAGTCCTGTGTGTGTGTGTATGTTGGTAGATTATCAATCCCATTGTCACTGGAACAGCTTGGCAGAAATAGTGGAGGCACCAGTGATCCAATTTTCTGCTCTGTGTGTGTGTGCATGTGTTAAACAGAAGAATGGGTAATGGGCTGAGAGTGGAAATGACCGGTGAACCCAGATAATGAATCTGCATGTCTGTGTATGTGTGTATGTGTGTGAGAGAGAGAGTGAATAAAGGCCAAAGCACATCTGGATGGGAATTGGGGTGAATGAGGTGATAAATCAAGGATCTACCCCTGGTGCCTGCGATGCTCCAGTCACTGAGCATGAAGGGCAGCAGTACAGGGGAGGCAAAGGGTGTTTGCCTGCTTAGTGTGTTCTGAACTTATCACCATTTATACGTTAGCACCATGGTGAGTCTCTCTTAAAAGTGAAAACGTGGCCTTTTCTTGACTGTTCTGTTCTTGTATTTAGGTGGGGCACGAAACAAACAAACAACGACAAAACTGTGAAGATGATCTGTTTGAACTTTAACTGAGATCCGCCTGCTCATTTTGTTTGCCCTTGAGTTTTCTGTATGGATGTTTCCAGATCTCAGAAGTTGCCTACAAACAGCCACAACAACCAGTAATAAACACGAATAATCACTTAAAAGAAAGCCAACGCCTGGTTACTTTACTCTGCAGAGAAAAGAAATAGAATATGCGCCCCTCTTGGCACTAAAATGCAGATGTCAAAAAGGCTGATGGGAGCAGGGTCAATTGGCCCGCTGCTGGCTAGCTGCCTTTTACAGCAGATTGGTGAAGTTGTCAGGCTTGTTTGGCTGTGGGCAAGCTAGCTGTGTTTTTCTTTTCAACACTGTGTTTTGTCTGGTTGCTTTCGGGCAGGACAGTGTTGCTTGTGTGTGCAGCAGTACCAAGTGAGCGAACTGAATAATGAATGAAAGCCAAGGAGGCAGCTTAAAGGCGTTAAAGTGGAACACTTGGTGGAGTGCTTTCAAAAGGTATCACACAAAGGAAAAGGCTTCGCTCAGCAATACTGTGTGGCAGATTGTTAGCTTAGCTCTCCCATGCCACTCTACAAGCACTTTAACATGGCTAATGGCATCAAAACCTTCCTGACATACAGATGCAGAGGGTGGACATGTGCTTTTATAATATAGCCAGATTAAGCGTCCATCTGAGAGCACTGCTGCTCAGGAGTACTTACCTCTAATATGGAATTTTTCTCCTTACTCAGCATGGTCTGCGAAGGCAGTTAAATCAGCTACGTGTATTAAAATGTGTGTGTGTTGATGCACGCACTGTATCACCTCTCTGAGCATGGGGTCGTTGATCGAGCTGAGGTTGACTGCGCCTTCATAGGTCAGATAATAGAAAACATTGAGGGCTCTGGCGGCTTCGGGTCCCTGCTGCTTGTAGCCGAAGATCAAATCGATCCACTGGTGAAGCTGGCAGGACACAAACTCGCTCTCCAGTGCCTTTAAAAAGAGGTGAAGACGAAGAGTTAGGGATATCTAGGATGTCAACAGATGCAACAAAAGGCAACTCCCCTAACATCCCATTACTGAACAGCAGTTATTACTAATACCCCTCAAAGGTGAATTTCTCAGAGAAAGCGGAATATTCTTCTAATTGTTCCTCTGACGGAATCTGCCAATGATTTCTATAATGAGCAAAAAGCACAGTAAATCCATATCTGATCATAAGAGAGCATCAAGACATTAGAGGACTCTTGTAGTTCATTAGGGAGCCATTTCAGCTTCTGTCTTTGTTCTTTTCTCTGCTGGTCGTGAGCGGATAAGAGCACCGTGTTGCTCTCCTGCAGACGTCGTCATAACGCCACAGATACAAACCGTTTTCTCTCCTCATTAGCGGGCAAAGGAGGGAAAAAGCATTTATGGTTTCCTCATAAAAACCGGCAATTGTGTTAATTTGTGTAAAGCTGCTGGCTCACAAAAGCCCTCTAAACACAACCAAATTAGAATGAGGCAGCCCTTGATTGTCATTGCTGCCTTGTGTCACATTAATTTGTGACAAAACATTAGCCCGTGCTACACTTAAATGGCAATTTATATCATTTAAATTTTTACTGCGGAGACCAGTGCATCCCTCACTTAAATGTGACTTTCTGACAGCTCATTCTGCATCTAATTCCTCCCCACTCTGTTAATTACGACTTTCAATCAGGGAGCCGAGCACACGTCTGAAGAGGAGAGTGTGTGCGCTTTAGGTGTGATGCTGTTTTTTAACGCTGCAGCTTGACTGACTGACTGAATTTGTGATGCTGTCACGAATCTCATCATCCCAGCTGATGAGAAGCTTAACAGTGAAACTGCATTTCGGTTCCCAGAGATGAAAAAAAAAAAAAAGATCAATAAACAAAGATATAAAATGTTTTTATGGCTTAATGCTGCAATAATCAAATGTAAGCAAAGTCTGATCATCGTGTGTTTTCATTTGATTTAGCATTGCGCACAGACTGTGTGACTGTATACATTTGTAAGCGACACATTACTGCCCCTGTATTCCTCACATGCATTATGTATGTTTTATTTAAAATGTCCCTGTATATACAGTAACTTATGAACACATAACAGTTTTAAAATGTTTATTACCCTGTGAGTAAGATGGATAACCACGGAGGCAATCAATCACAACTCAAATACAATAAATTTGTACGAATCCTTCGATGTAACAAAGAGCTTAACGGGAGTTTGACTGACTTTGTCCTTATAAATAAATCTCTGGTTTATAGCTAAGGTGCATCCAGCTACAGCAATAAGAATAAAAGTTAGAAAAAGCTAATCTGGCACAGGATATCTGATAAAATTCAAATTCCTGCTAAATTGGTCTTTGAGGCTCAAAATGTTTCAAACAATACCCGACCCTACTTTAAAAAGTGCCGTCTCGTGCACAGCTTGTCACTGATGTAGCATTAAGTAGCATGTTCTGTAGCATTATGTGTATTTTTATTATTATTTATTTATTATTTTCACATGTGAGAACTGTTCTGAAAGCTGCAGATTCAACAGAACTAGCAGGCAGAGGGATCTGTGTATTCCCTACTGTCTATGATCACACTCAAAAAAACAAATCTAACCATTAGTCTTAAGATAAAACAGAACACCCCTGGTCTAGACTCCATGTCTATCTGCCTCTCTGGCATCGCCATATTCACATTATGTCATAGGGCAGCCCTTTTTATTAATGTTACATGATAAGCCAGAAAAATCCTCTTTATTCAAACTCCCTTTAATAGCAGAGGTTGAGTCGTGCGTGTATCGTGTGTGTGTTTGTGTGCGTGTGTGTGAGGGAGAGATCAGTTCATTATGCACTAGGATTGACCTTTGACAGGCCCTGCTCCCCTGTTTCTAAAACTAAAGCTGGGGCTGATGGGCATTTAATGTGCACCGCAATCAACTGTCATTCAGCAAAGGGAAACAAAGAGCAGCCGTGTTATTGCAGCTCCCTCTCCTGAGGCCCGCCTTTATGGAAATCATTTGCATGATCCATTTGGAGAGGGTGAAACAGAGTAAGTGAGAATTTGTGTGCGCTCTGCTGGAATTGGAAGTGTGTATCTGTTTTTGTATTTGTTTGGTCTGTCAATGTCTCCCTGACTCAAGTCTGCATGTAGGAACTTAACCTCAGCAGATCAAGCTGAGAGATTCAAAGAGTTTCTACCTGCAGTAGAAAAGCCACGATCGTATCACGTCAAAGGTGTCGGATGTGTAAATTGTACACAACAGCAGTGGTATCAGGCAGATTAGGATTCAACTACTTTAATCCGCCCCTTTATCTAAACTCGGGGTTTGACATCATGAGCCGACGTCAGAGAAAACATCTTAATAGAAGAAGCTTAGGGAAAGGTGCCATTGATCAGACTCCACTGAAGTCCAATGAACAGAATGAAATCAACAACAAACTCATCCAACACTTAATAGTACAGCTATAGTACAGGGAGACACACACACACACACACACACACACACACACACGCTCACATTGCATGATAATTACACAAAGATCTAAATACAAAAGCAATCAAAATTTCTAAACCTCAGCACCAATAAAGCCTAAAATATTGAGTCATATTAAATTCAGTTGATTTTGCAGCTGATTCCAGGAGGTGAGAGCAACAAATCAAATTCACAAAATCAGATCAGATTCACATCTGCCAAAAACACAAATGCTAAACCTTCAAACTCTAGAAACCAGTCAGTGACATCATCCTTAACATTCAATCTGCGAGGCACACCATTGCATTAGGTGACACGTTTCCTCACTATGATTGACATGAGCCCAGTGCTTTATTTTGTTTTGGTTTTCTTGCTCTTCCAATAAAAACTTACACTCTGAGATCGAGAAGTCCCCATCACTGACATTGCTTAACTGTGTCACATTTAACAATGACAACTACTGCCAGCTACTTCAGTTAACCTTTTTCAAAATGTCATATTGGTGACTCATTTATTCACATTTTCGGAGGGGAGGAGGGGAAGTAACAGAGTAAATACAATTTTTCCCATTTGCCTTTTCACAATAATAAAATTATATACAACAAAAAATAGCACACAATACTATGCAGGTACTCAATAAACCTAATTTCGATTTATAACAAGAAGATTTCACCTAAAGAACTCATATTTATAATCCATCAAAGAAACCTAAGTGAAGTACAGAAATTAGGCATGTTCTGATAACTCATTAACAATGTGTCATGTGAGCAGCTGTGGAGACGTTTCCACATGTGGTGCCACACTGTGGAAACAGTTGAGCAGAAGGTTGAGGCAGATAGTAGATTCCTGAGGTGGGATCTGGTGCCACTTTAGGAGAACCAGGCAGGATTATTGATGGGCCAATTAGCAGCCAGTGTGTGTGTCATCCCCATCCACAGGGGACTCTCTGATAATTAATGAATAATTTAGCATGCCTTTATGTAAATGCTGATAGGGGGTAGAAGTAACTGGAATCCCACATTCCTATTGTTACAGATTTGACAAAGTACACCTTCGAAGCACAGGGGAGGGTGGGGTGGGGGCAAGGGGGTCCCTTTTGTTTTGTGCTCTGATTTGTTTCCAACAGCAACAATAATTTGGAATATTCTCCTAAGGAGAAGAATGATACATTTACCCAAATCATTTTTCCCCATCAAAGCCGCCATGTATTCAAATGCATATAATTATATACTCTTTGTGAACTGCATGCTTATTTTGCTTGTGTTCCAGCATGCCGCGCTGTGATGTGGATTCCAATGAAAATGTATCATAATGAACAAGCCTCGTCTGCGTGCAAGGCTCGGGTTACTTTAATCCCTTCCTTTGTGAAACATCTGTAGCTGGAGTGTAGACTTTAAGTTTAGAAAGAAAACCCAAAACGCTCAAAAAGAATGACAGTTTGACTACATGTCTGTCAATATGTTACTCTTTAGAGGGACCTGTACTCTAGACTGAGGATTTAAAGACATACAATCCTAATTTAAGACATCAGACAAGAAACACCAAGTGATTGCAATTAACCAGCTGGTGGACATTAAACCGGGGTTGCTTTGAGTCCTGAGAAGCAAAACTGAGAGCGTCTGATCTCGAGTCAGTAACCGGCCCACAGCCTCATCTTGAAAAGCTTTTTCTGCTCGCAGGTGGGAAATTTATTATCTTTATTTTAACCTCATGTGGGACCTCTTGTAGTGATTATCTTTGCTCTGCTTAAAAGTAAAACTGCGTGTCCATACTACAGGTTTACGCTGGGCCTATCTGTGAAGGTTCTGTGCCTCGCAGTGGTTTGCGGTTAGCTTTATGGTCTGGATTGAGCTGGATTTCACTTCAGTCTTAACGAGGTGACAGTGAACGCTTTCCTCCTTGCCTCACTGGTCCTTAAAAACCCTTTTAAGGACTTATGGAGAGCTGTCCGTAAGGATGTTAAAACATCACTTAACAAATCAATGCGCTCATTTGCATGCCAACGGTGATGCAAGTGTATGTTGCACGTGCGTGTGTCGCCGATGGTGTGGGTGTGTAATTAAAGGCACATGTTGTGTGCAGAGCCGTTGTCAGCAGCAGACTGTTTTCGTTCGTATTGATTACGGATGTATAAAACAAACACTTGTCAGATTTGGATATATTAAAATGACTGTTTCAGAACAAGCTGATTAAAAACATCCCGAAAACCACATTCAGTACGCGTGACAGTCAAACATCGTGTTTTCACACTTAAAAATGATGATCCAAGGACACTGAATTGGTAGTCGGGACCAAGTTTTGTTTAGTCATATTCTTTTTGGCATTTTATTAAATCAATTCATAAATCCGCCCATCAAATTTATATTTTAGACGACAACTCTAATGGAAACTGGCCTAGTAGTTTTACCTTAGTACAGCTTTATTATCTCACTTTTTGATTCTCTTTTCCTTCTCCAAGTTCAGCAGCCTGCTTTCCTTCTCCCCCCTTCTATTTGTTCTCCCACTTACCCCTTTCTTTTCCT